AAGAATGGGTCGTCGACGAGCAATGCCGACGGACTTACTATGCCGTCTACATCTTCTTCGGCCTACTGACGCTCACCTACAACCACACTCCTGCAATGGGTTTCAATGAGTTCGACACCTTGGAGCTGCCTTCTTCGGAGTCGCTCTGGACCATGGAGGTTTCAGATGACGAAGCCTGGCGCGAGAGTCTGAGTGCTTCTAGAATCATCACGTTCCGCCAAGCGCATGACAACCTGTTCCAAGGCGAGACTGCTCGTTACAGTGCTTTCGCCACACGCGTCATGATCAACGCATTGTTCCTCGAAGTATGGTACCACAAGCGTAGCCCTGAAGCTCTCCAAGACGTAGTCACCGAGTACAAGCTTCGCCTGGCCCTGGAAACATGGGAGAAATCGCTTGAGCTCTGCGAGCCTGAGACAGTCGTTGTCCAACTGAGCGCTCCACACAAGGGCCATCCTCTTATTTTCAACGCCATGGCGCTGTACAGGAATACCAGGGCCCGACTCGTGGTCGATCTCAAGTCCATCCAAGAAGCTCTCCGCTATCACGACTCCTACGAAGTAGCTGCTGCTATGACAAATGCCCGCGACAAGGTCCAGCGTTCACCAGAGATGATCAAGGTCATCCAAGAATGCTTCGATTGCATCGAGGTCGCTGCCGTGCAAGGCATACGCTGGGTTGCTCGAACTTCCGCTACCAACTGGAGCATCGAGCATCCACTTACCGGCATGGATCTGATGGTCATCTTGACGCTCTGGCTCTACCGCCTGGAGCACGACGAAGAGCCAGCCACCGAGGAGGAGCTAGCCATGTACAACAAGCTGCGCAATCTGTTTGATGACGACTCCGTGGATGTCTACGGTGCAAAGCTGAGCTCCACTGTCGCGCGACTATGGGGCAGCATGATCGACGAGGTCGTCGTTTGGGGGTATGTAAATGCTTTTCTATCTTTCAGTAACCTGGCACTAACGATATTTAGCATCACCAAACTTATGGGCGAAGCTTTCAAGCTACATTCGCAAGCACTTGTTGGCTACGAAGATGCCATGTCGTCTCGTTCCGGATCCGCTACGCCATCAATGGCTGCTGGTGGTGTCCAGGTGCTCGAGATGCAGATGGCCTACTAAGCGAGAGATAGCTTCCAGAGCTGATCGCGATTTTCCACGATCTTGTTTCCATGTCGCGTTACTTTTACAGACTGTGGATTTCTTTCTATATTTCGTCCTCTCCTTGCACCTGGGAGCATGGCAAGGAGTTTGGCGCCCTCAGCATCGGTCTATTGTTTATTTCATTTCATTTCATTTTTCTCAAGATCGGGGTAATACGGCGCACAGGGCGGGTCTGGTCCAGATTCCTACACTCTCGAGCTCATGCTCTACTCATTTGGCATTCTTCTAATACCTCTCCCTCGCTCATACCCATCGGCATTTCTGGACTGTTGAAGGCTGGCCCTAGGCGCGTTATTGCTTCACTTCGGTTCTGCTACTAGCGCTGCCTTTGTTGCATTCTTGCTAATATCTATTTCTTTTTGCCTGTACTTCGGTAATGCCTTTTCTTGGTGGCATTGGGCTCTTTCTTTACATATACCATAGTATGTCATGATTCGGCTTCGCGGTGACGGAGATGGGAGATATTACGGTAGTGGATATGAAGTGAAGGTGTAAATCGGTCTTAAATAGCACTGTATGAATACGTCTTCTTATGCCATTATGACTTGAACGTAAATTAGTATCTGCCATTCTGTGATGTTTTTGACCTAACCACCGTTATCGACTTACCAACCCACCAACGTACACACCCAAAGTCCCTCGCGATAAGACTTCAAATTCGAGCGCGAGCCCACAAGATGTTTTTGACCTAGCTGGCTACTAATCCATGGTTGCTCACATGTGCACGGACAATAAACGTTAGCGCGTAATGTAGAGCTTGAGCCTTCGAAAATTTCGCGAAACCGACTTCAGCACGACGCATTACCAGCCACCACATCTTCGCATTTCTAATTCCTACCCAAAACGTACAGTCGCTTACCCTCACAATGTCGAAAGATATCGAAGAGAAGAGGCTGAAGAAGGAGAAGAAGGACAAGAAGGAAAAGAAGGAAAAGCGCGCAGAGACAGACGGCGTGTCCAAGAGCAAAAAGGACAAGAAGGAGAAGAAGGTCAAGGGCGATGTCGAGATGGTAGACGCGCTCGAGGCTGAGCTCGAGAAGGAGCCAGAAGTCTCAATGGTCAACGTCGTGGACGGTGATGAGCCGCGCGGCGCACTCGTTCCCTTTGCCTTTCCCCTCGCAGACAACGACAAGGAGGTCAAGAAGATCCTCAAAACCGTCAAGAAGTGTATGTTTCTCACTTTCCATTCATTGGCCTGTTGGCGCACTTGAAAGAACAAGACTGACGTTCATCCTGCTACAGCCGCCAAGTCCAAGACCCTCCGTCGCGGTGTCAAGGAAGTCGTAAAAGCGCTGCGCAAGTCCGCTGCTTCCGGCGCCGGATCTTCCCTCGATGACCCCAGCGCCATCGTTGTCATCGCCGCCGATATCTCGCCCATGGACGTCATTGCGCATATCCCTGTTCTCTGCGAAGACCACAACGTACCCTACATCTACATCAAGAGCCGCGCGCAGCTCGGCGAGGCCAGCGCAACAAAGCGACCCACCAGTGTGGTCATGATTGGAAAGGACAGGATGGGCAAGAAGGCCGGCGAGGGCGACGAGGAGTTCACCGAGGCATACGGAGAGCTGGTCAAGGTTGTTGGCAAGGCTGCTAAGACAGTCAAGAAGTGAGAGCAATGCGACAAGTGGAGATGAAGGTGATCGGCCGTGTGTCGAGTGTATTGTTCAAAAGGGAAATGAGGAGTCTGGCGTTTTTCACCCATGGTTGGCTGATCAGTCCTCCTAGTGTTACTGTTTCAATTCTAGGCATCGAGCTAGGCTTGCAATATACCTTTACAAAACTTCACGCGCTCATGCCAACGGACAATTTACTCAGTCGTCATCTGGTGAACCAGCTGCATTCACGGGTCTCGCTCGTAGGGCCTACACAAAACATTCAACGGAGCTCCATGAAGATCGTCTGCAATTCGAGGTTCGATCCGATAAAAGAATGTCGGGGTTATGTACATATCGAGACAACCAAGTATAAACACGAAGAGAAATCGTTCACCATCCGCCAGCAGTTGACATTGTCAGTCGCAAGTTCACAGCCAAGGCCCAAGGGCCCATAGCCCTCCAATTCTTTGCATTTGAGCACGGAGCTCTGACAACAGCGCTTAATTGGCAGCCGTCCACAGCGCCGGATCAGGGAACGTGTAAGTCGTAGGGTTGGTGTAGATGTTGAACACAATACCCGGCATGTCCTTCGTGTACAAGCTCGTACCAGGAACGCCAGCCGTCGGGGCAACAGAACCGCTACCACCGACCTTGAGGTTCAAGCCTACAGCAATACTCAGCATGTGATCTTTTTACATTGAAAGCAGCCTGGAAGATGAGTGACTTACACTGGGGGTACAGCTGCGCGCCATTCACGTTCTGCCCACCGTGAAGAGCAATAATCTCATGACGGATAACGTAGTTGCCAGGAGCAAGCTTGGCGGGAAGAACAGTGGAGACCTTGAACTTGTTTTTGATGAGCGTGTCTGTAACCCAAGTTCCCGGGCTGACAATGGCAGATTGAGAGATCTTGGACCAGCGCAGAGCACTGGGGGTCAGAGTGGTGCAGTCGCCTGGAGGGAAGAAGTGATTAGTAACGGCGCATACTGTACTGATTCATGTGCATCACTTACCGTTGCAAGGCGCGATGTAATTGATGATCGGCCCCTTGTGACTATCAGGCCAAGTGCTCCACTCAAACTCAATTGTGTCTCCCGGGTTGACATTAGCGTAGAGACGTCCCGCAGTAGCACTCTTGTGGCAGTTCACGTCCGCTGTACCGACCGATGCGGGCTCGACGAAACCGATGTCTTGGTTCAACGCATCCCAGCCTGCGGTTTGGGGGCGACTGTCCTTTGAGAAGTAGTACCACACGGGGTCGGAGCCGTTGGTGAAGGTGCCCTTTACGTTGACACCTTTGACGAAGCCGTGGGCGGATGCTGTGTCGAGAAGGGCAGCGATGGCGCCGAGGAGGAGTGCGGATGTGTACATCGTGGAGTGTGTGTGAGGGAATGGTAGCGAATGTTGTTGCTTTAATGCTGATCTGTTATGCTTGTTTCTACCTACTCTTATATGCCATCCCAAGGTCTTGATAGTCTGTGTGGTCTCTCATGGTTTTCCTAATCAGAGACGGAGCACATCGACCGATTGTATCAGGTAAAACAAGGCTCGTATAGTACTGTTAGATGACTGCAAGTCATTGCCTAGGGCTTTGCAACGGTAACGGGCATAGTCACTAAGGCGAAGCATAGCTTGTTGCTCCATGGCCACACACACGCTGCGTGCCGTATAGCTTCCAAGATCTTTGATGGCTCAGGAAACCGGTCACAAGCAAAGAAGCTGATATTGCTGTGATATTGATTCCGTTTCCGAGTGTGGTTGTGGCGCAGAGGGGCGCGTGTCCTGGTTTTCTTTTGGGGTAATCTATTCTCCCCGGGAAGCCGCAAGCGAGCAATCTAAATACTGAGAAAGCAGCGAATAGTAATCATATAGTGTGCACATTGAAGTCACACTCGTCACACGGGAGTGTTGTAAGGTTGCGGACGTTGAAGGGAATTTCTCCGTTGGCTCGCTACTGCCACAGCAGAAGATGCACGTGGCGAATGGAGTACCTGCCTCGTCCATGACAAAATCTAGCCACTTCACTCCTGACAAACTCTGATCTTTTGTTCGCTACAGGAAGGTCTTACAGAGATCGTGTATAGGAATCGATATTCTAGACGCTGACAAAGGTGCTGGGTTGTGCAGCCTATCCTGGCCCGTGTCTATCGTAGACTCCAAGTTGGGTGCTCGATCAAGCATATGGCTTCCAGGACTTCTCTGACATGATGTTCCTATCTCTGCCCAAATTGGGTCAGCGTGTGTGTGCCGGACGGTATGGTAGCACCTGCGCGATGTCAACACAACCCCTTCAGGAGCAGCAACTTTCAGAAATACCATCTCGTCCTTTGGCTCTTGATCCGGTACCGCTGTCTCCTCTTCGCTAACCTTCTGCGCATCGCTCTCGTCTTTGTCGCCCAATTTTTGCTCGACCTCGACCTTCGTTTCCCTGTCGCTCACTTCCTCTTCGCCACCCATGTCGTCGTCGCTCATCTCGTCCTCTGACCCCGTCTCTCTGTCTGCCTCCGCGATCTCGTAGTCCTCCTCCACTCCGACATAGTAAAACTCTAGGGTACGAAGCACATCCGCCTCAACATCCGGGACTGGTGTGTCCTCGGGCCGTTCCTCGTCATTGACCAAAGCTTCCCTGAAAGCACACAATTTAGTTTCTGGCTCCAAATAGTGTAGAGTAAACCCACCTTGTCTCTTCTAAGCCCTCGTGAAGGTCATCCAGCGCCTCTTTCAGATCCGGATTTGGATCGTTACCATGCCATTGCTTCGTAATACGCCAAAGGGTTTCGCCCTTGACGTAAAAGACGTATGCTTCATGGAAGTCATCCAGAAGACATGCAAGCATCGTGAAACATTTGATGCGGTGAAAACGAGGGATAGCGGAGTCGGCGAGCAAATTGCGGACGGCCTCGGTACACTTCTCGAATTCGTCTTGTTCGAGCAGCGCAATAGCAGCGTTGAAGTCCGTCGTAAACCGGCGATCAATTTCATCAAAAGTGGCCATCTAGAACGTGTATAGGGTTGATGTGGGGGTGGGTGAGAGAGGTTGAATCTGCGGTTTGTGGATAGCATGGCGATGCATGGATGAAAGATCTGGCTGCACGTGGCAGACAAACGCGCCAGGACTTCTTCAGGTCCTACGTCATTGTATGGCACCCGGAGGTGAGTGACAGGTAAGAGGCAGGAACGTTGGGTGCAGAAAGTTGAGATCTGATGATCAATTACTCTCAAATAAGGCGTCTCGAAGTATCAGACGTTGATTGAAGGCTCTCATGAAGGTCATTCTCTCCCTAGACAGTCTTCATCCAGCTCGGTTCCTCCTGCTCAAAAGACTTGAACCCTGGAGCGGGAATCTTATCAAACAGTCCACCCTTCAACGCAATCTTATCGCCAGCCAGTACAGACGTGATTGGGCTTCCTCTAATTAGCTAAACTTCTCCCCAATGCTACATAGGCCATCAACTCACCAGCCGCAGTTGCTGCAGAATTGACGAGTAATTGGGTTCCCGCTCTTCGTGTCGTTGTCGCGGTAGTCTTTGAGATACTTGCTCGGATCGTTGATTGTGACTTGGGGACTGTCGAGAATGTATACGATTGATCCGATGCTTCCTCCTGCGCGGCGGCAGTTGGCACTTCCACGGTCAGTATGGAGATGCAGTTAGAGGCTCTAGTGATAATGCATACCAGTAGCAAATAGCGGACTGTTCAGGCATAGTAGGCATGGAAACTTTGATGCTTCCGCAGTTGCAGCGTCCCTCGGCCATCGTGATTGAATGCGGAACGGGGCTTTCTCGGTGAACAGTGTACTGGAAGTCTTATATCCTGCAATGCTGAGAGGATTGGAAGTAGGCAAAATTTGACGAGAAGATGAGAGCAAAGATCTTGCAGAAAAGAGGTGCTAATTACTGGATTAGAGACAGAAACCGTTTGGGTCTTATGACGTGTTGCGGAGTAGGCCTCGGCAAACTAATCAGGGCAAGTCGCTGCCAGTAACGCGCATCGTGTATTACCATCGCCGTCCAGAATCGTGCTATTGCTTCATTGAGTCGTTACATTCAAGGTTCGGGACGCGATGATGACGCCTCGGACGAGGCATGCTTCCAAAAGCGAATGATCCCGCTTGACTACCTATCTAAGTAGGTACCGGGTGCTCAATGGGAGCTTGGTGACATCCCTGACGCGGTCAGTTGGGGAAACCTTCTGTATTCCATGACAAGACGGGGTAAATGGCCTCAATAGACTCGATGAACCGATCGGCATTCTGATAGTGCTATTACTGATCCGGCGCACAGGGGCTTCGTGTGTAGTGGGGTGTGTAAGCATTAATCATTCTCCCGCTCTAAAAACACACAGTACAGCAGCTGAGGGGATGTCTTTGATAGATAATATTGTAGAGAAGATCACTGAGATGGAGTGAGGCTGAAGCATAATATGCGTTATCCTCAGAGGCGTCCGGATCAGGCTAGCGTGCCATTCAGTCCTAACGCGGCGCGATTCCGCGTCTACAAACGATGACCAGAACAACACGACGATACCACTACAAAGCGACACCAATACTACACACGCCTTCACAAACCTCTGGCACCAGAGTCCTACCCCAAAATGGTAATTGAAAAGCCTCTTGTCTCAAAAGGAAGCCCCATACTAACCCCCACAGACGCGCGACTCAACAGCAACCTACCTCCACATGCACTCGTCGCACCACGCCGACCTCCTCGAGCAATTCACCAACCTCACCTCCTCCCAACTCACACCGGAAGACATCTACATCCCGCCGCACCTCCAACCCGTAAACCCCGAAGACGAAGACGACGTCGTCCCAGACCAACACGCCGCATTCGGCATCCAGCGAGCGACACAGACAAAGAAGGAGCCGACATGGCGGGATCTAGGTCTTGATGAACTACTGAGGAGAGGCCCTATGGTCGGCGGAAGCGGGAGTGGCAGCGGAACGGCGGTTGCGAGCGGTGGTGGGATTGTTGGGCAGGGAAGAGAGGAGCCGTTGAGGTTGGCTTTGGCCAGGCAGCCCGGTGCGAGGATGGGAGTTAGAGCGGGGAATGGGAGTGGTGAGAGTTCTGGGAGTGGGGGTAGTGGCGCGAGTGGTGCTGCTGGGAATGGATTGCCGCGATGAAGGGAGGCTACACACTGAAGGACAAGCACTGAAAATGGCGGCAAGACACATTCTTCAACTTTGCGAAACAAGTTACAGGCAGTGGGCAGGTGGTATTGGTGTCCTGACTAGAGCTGTGATATCGACATCTGAAGGCCGCTCCGACAGGGAACTTTGGCAACGGCTTCACAGCCTACTGCGATCGCCGATGAAGGCCATACGAAGTGGCACCGTTCATCACGTACCCAACACTACGGATGGCTTTATTGGGATTCACTGCGCGATAAGGGTGGACATGAAACGAGCGTGGAAGACCAACTTATTCGCGTAGGGTCCAAGATTCGCGTTGTGTCTCTGGCTAAGGCGTGAACAATTCGCAAATGGATAGGACAAACTTCCATTCACAGGATTCAATACAGCATGATGAGATCACGGACATCATATATGGCACATTAACTGACGAAATGTGAACGATTTTCGAGAAATGCTTCACGCCATGTCTAGATGATGGTTTGATAATCAGACTCCTCTCAGCCCACCTGATACATTCGGACGCCCTCCTCTGTCCTTGTAGTATCAACGCTCACTTGCTGTGTACGCAGGCACATCAACCTACGTGCGCGCTCGCAGTACGCTTGCCAGACAAACACCGCCTTGATCACGCACCACACATAGTGCCGCCAACGCATCCGGCTGATACCTCCGTCGGCCTGAGGCATCTTCTGTCGAACGATTCTGTACATCAATGCCTGCGCTAAGGCCTCCCAGTTTGCGCATCGACCGCAGCCGTCACCTACTGTGCCCTCAAGATCCCTGATACGGTCGCATACGAGCCGGTACATCTCAAAAGCATCTGCGTGCTTGGCGAGAGGTGCGTCAGGGCGCGCGAGAGACGTGGGATCGTTGAACCGAGGTTGTGCCGTTATGAGATGTACTGGGTTGTGTCGCTTCATGTACGAGGGATCTTTGGGTACCCCTTCCTCTTTTCTCAACGACTGGTAATGGAAGCGGCGAGCAACGTTGATCATCATAATGGGCAAATCGTGGATCATGGCTTCTGCATTCCACTGGAACGGCATCGGAGCGGTAGTGGTGAGCAGTTCTCGAGTCTGCAAGTTAATGATGCGGTACGTCTCCTTTGCCAGAGATGTTGGTATATGCAGGGATAGGGAGAGGCCCTGGATGCCGACATCGCGTCGACCGTCGTCTGTGTTTTCTAGTTCATAGAGGAAGGGAATCTCAATCGGCTCGCGACACATGGGGCAAAGACATCTTCGCTTTCTTTTGAACCACACACTCAGACAAGAAAGGCAGAAGACATGTCCACATGGTGTCCGGATTGGTTCGACAGTTTGTTCGAGGAAGGTCTTCCTGTATGCTCCCGGTAGTTGGCTGAGGAAGTCCAGGTGTGTCTCGACGCCTGCACCGATGCTTCCATATTCTCGACCACAGACAAAGCACGTCGGCTCATCCCGTGGTGCTTCCGTGGGTGTAGTGACGGCGAGTACGCGGTCAACAACGTCTTGGTATGTGGCAGATGATGAGTCCATGTTCGGTTGAGGTCTATAGTTGTATAAACGCATTTAGACTACTGGGTAGCCCATTTATCCTCCATGGCTCTGCGTTGCCACCAACGAACAGGAGAATTCCTGGTTGCATTGAATGATCGCAGAAGGAGTCCAGTAGCCACAGCCATTCACCTTCGAGCTGTTTAGCCCAGGCGATGTGTGATGCTATGTATGTAAGCATTCAACCGACACAGCTTTCACTTATTCGTGTATAGCTCGTATAACAGTGGTAACAGTGGGTGTACTTGGTATATAACATGTGAATGATGAGTGGAGACAAATCTGCTGCTCAGTCATCCGTCAGATCAATACACTCAACCCCCACTGGTACCTTATAAGTACTTATTGGTTGTTTGTTTGGCATGACAGCAAACGAAGAAGTACGTGGCTCGTTTGCGTCCTTGGCAGGGTCGGGAGGTGTCGTTGCGAAGTGTCGAAGCCGAGCAGCGCGTATCTCAGCTGCGGTAGGTGCAGGAGATGGTGTAACTTGATCTTCTGTATTTGGATTCGAAGGTAGCGTTGCAGACACTGGTAATAGATTAGCGCGCGGGGGAGGGCGCGACCAGTCAGGTAGGTCGACTGGTTCCCTTCCTATAAGACCTGCGTGAACACCCCTCATTGGCATGCTTGATATGCGCGATTCATTCTCCACTCGTCGGGGATTTTGAGAAGCTCTGGAGGGCACGGCCGCGCTCAGTGCTTCATCAAGCGACCAAGCAGGTACAGAGGCCCCGTGTACATCTCTGCCGGCTTCTCTCATTGCGAAGATGCTTTCGTATCTGCCACGATTTGAAGACGGTAAAGTGGAAGGCCTTTGTATTGGGGGTATCTTGGCGCCTTGATCTTGCATGCTTAGCCGCAAAGCTAACTGCAGCTCTTCGTCTTCTTCATCTAGGATATCGAATGGCAATGTGTTTGCTACAGGGTTTCGGAAAGGATCCGAAACGGGTGAATCGTTCTCCTGATCTGACGGCTCAGGCGAACCAAGATCGATGATATGAGATGTCGTCGGCTGATTCAATGCAGGTTCTTGAGAGCGAGCGTTGGCTGGTAGAGAAAGCCCACCCTCATCTTCAGAGTCCGAGAGTGCAATATAATCGAAGATCTTTTGTGCTGTGGGCGTCATTTGCGTATCTTGAGACTTGGCCTTTGCAGCTGGTCCTCTGGATTTCCTGGGGGATGCACTGTATGTAGCCCGGGTAGCGGATATATCGTCTCTTTTGTTCGTACGTTTCCGCTTAGCTGTGCCTGAGGCTTCGGCGTCTTCCCCAACTTCAGCTATTGGTCGCTTGCGTTTTGGCGTACGCTTTGGTGGTGCAGGGGGCGGTTCCAGTACGTCCGGCGGAAGAACTTTACGCAGCCAGTACTCGGGATATTCGCATTCGACACGATGCTCTGGGTCAAACAAGGTCTGCTTGTCTCCATTCCAGCACCCTAAGCGCTCACCTTCGAAGTCGGCTCTGCTCAGGGTAGTGACACCAAAGGGTGAAAAAGTAAGCTTACGTTCGAAAGTGCGCATGGTCAGTTCGTTGTCGGTCTTCTTCGCTTTTTGCTTTGTGAGCCTGATGCCGTGGACCAGTTCTTGCGATAGAGATGGATCTCTTGCTATCAGGCTTCGTGTCAGCAGCACAGGCCCAACCCAGTTCATGTATAAACGTCCCCATATGTTGAAGCGCTCGCTGGTAAGTGTAAGCAACTTCAGCTCCTGGATCGGGCGAAGATAGTCAAGGTTGAGGCGCGACTTGCTAAGTAAATCTGTGTCGCTGGTGACTTTCGGTTTGTAGTACTTCTGTAAGGTCTTGAAGTCTGGGAAGGCTGGCGGGATTTCGATAGCGCGCCCGCGAGCACTCCGCTCCAGGAACATGGCCAGCTCCACAGTCCACATGCCGCACTCCATCTGATCTCGACAGGCACAAAGCCGCCGACCGAGTCCTTGCTTGACTGCCTGCAAGGCTAGAGCCGGCCCACACTGTGGTAGACCTTTCACGTCGTAGTCCCCACCTACAAGCATGGCAAAGAGCACAAGTCCTTCTCGGTCTAGGCCATATTTCTCTTTCAGATCGTGTGCTCGTACAACGCTGGCGTATTTCCCATTCTTCTTGGTGTTCTCCTTGGACCTGTCTGTCGTGCCCTTTTCTTTCGCGACACGGTGATCGCGTAGCCAGAGGGTGCAGCCAAACATGATACAGTCAGAATCTTGCGACCAAACAGCGTCAACCATGCCCAGAATCTGCAGACGGGCGCATTCTGCCTCTGCTTCCCCCGGGGCCTCGTGGTATGGGATCCCAAAGTATTGAAGCATCTCCTTGAGCAAGCGCTGCTCTTCGTAGTTTATCCGTTGCCCACCTCGCTTTCCCCGCTTCCAAGGTCGACCGGGGCCATCGAACACGAATATGAGCTGAATGTTTAGGGTGAGGAGGCGGCAGATACGGTAGAACATGGCTTTCTCGATGCCTTGGTAGGCGTACTCGCTGGAGGCTGGTCCTGTCAGCAAGAGCAGACACGACACGTGTACTACTTACTCTCCCGTATAGTGTAAACTTGCTGCACCGTGAGGTTGTTGAAGCGCCAATCGGCCTCGTCAACAGCAATGCGGAGTGACCTGCCATGACGCCGGTGGTGCTCTTCGGCGAGTTGCGCAACGGGTACGCTTTCTTCGTGCTTCTTAATCGTGTCCCATAATCTGTCCAGGCGTCAGTACGAGCTCCAATCCCAATTGGTCTGGAGGCTTACGCTGGAAGGCCCATGACGTGGGTGTGGGGAAGAGGGAGGTCGGCTAGCCGACCGTTGCACGCGTCTTAGCGCGATTGGCGAGGATTATATGGCAGGCTGGGGCAGCCGCTGCTAAAGGAGACGATAAGCAAATCTGCTATGAGGGAGGCTCAATCAGACATCGTTTGCTGTTCAAGACGGCAGTAGTCGTACGATGGGATGTGGCGCGGTCGACCATCGCCAAATCTCCTTATCGCTCCTCCAAGGTTCCATTGCGCGACGCGAGAGCACGTGATTTGCCTTTTCAGTCTAAGCGCCATTCGGGCATCCTCCAGGGCTCAATCCATCTCAGTACTCACTCTTTCACTTCATCTTGTCAAACTGCGCATCATGGTCACGAAAATAGTACATTGTGGCTGGCTTATAGTTCACAGTCCACCTCGAACGCCCCTTCCAAATCATGCCACAGCTCACTCTCCAAAAAGACGCTCATGTCGCTAACCCGATCTTGCGCACTTTTGCGTCGCAGCTTCAACGCCTCTCCCAAGATATTCGCCGCCGAGAGGGCCATATCCGATTTTCTACCCAAAAACCATAACGCCTTAATACAAGCATCCGCGCGTTGAAAAGCATCCTCTCGATCCAGGTCTGACGGCAGCAGAGTATCTGACTCAAGCAACAGTACGCCTGCCTTGGCGAAGGCGCGAATCAACACTACAGTCCATGGCTCCGTCAGCAGTGCGCCTTCGTTGACTGCGAAATGGAACTCGGACTGTGCGAATGATGCGTCTTCTCGCGGGCATGCACAGCTCGCTAGGTCTGACAGGACCCGGCATTGGTTCTCGCGAAATTTCGCGATGAAGGCACTAATATTCCGTTGATGTGTCGCTTCCTCGAGTCCAAGCTCTGATTCGTCTACCACTTCCATCAAGTCCGCAAGAAGGAGAGTCGCAAGGTGCCAGTGTCCGGTGACGCATACGTACCATGATTGGACACGCGGTGGAAGGCGGTCGTGGTTCTGTATGCAGTCTCGGACGAAGGGCGCATACAGCGCATCCCAGTGGTTACACACGTCCATTGCGGCACTGACAGCCTCTTCGACCTTCGCGCCTCGTGCATTTCTTGTGAGAAGCGTCTGGATCCGACAGACTCTTCTGAACAGCAACACCTTGACCGGGGCTGCGTCACACAACGCAGCTGCGGCTTCATCGAATGAGCATGGCCATCTTGTGGGCGCATGTTCTGGATTCTGCTGTTGCCGAGAAAACAAGTAGTCGTCCCACAGTCCATCGTCTGTTGAGGAAGGTGTTGCCGCTTGTTGGGCCGAGTGCTCAATCTGCATGCTTTCGCTCATGACTACATCGCTATCTTCATCCGATACCACCAGTGGTCGTTTGTGCATGGCTGCTGATAGCGTGTCGAACATGACACCGACCCAGAACAGAAGGTCCACTGTCGCACGATCGGCGTCTTCAAGACGCACAACGGGCGAGCGTCGTTGCCGTGCAGAGCGCCCTGGTCCGGGGTTGCTGTATCGCGCTTCTCTCGACATGGTCATGCGCGACCTCAAGGAGTGAATGAGTCGAAGGCCTGATTCAAGATGTACAGGAGGTCCGTCGGACTCAATAGCGAGATCCAACTTCGACATCAGATCCGCACACTCATCGACGTCCTGATCGGTAGAAAGCATAGGGGTCTGTTCCATCGGGACTTCCGTGCAGGCGTCGGTCGCCAGTAGTTCGGTCTTCGAAAGAGCGTTCTGCTCATCCTGAGCCCCGTCTGCCTCCACAGGCCGTTGTGTCAGGGCGAAAATGATCTGTGCAAGTACCACCCGGAAGGACTCCACTTCACCGGCTTTTTGCAGTGCATTGCGGGCCTCATGCCACGCTGATATCTGCAGGGTACGATCAAAGTTCACGCCAGCCGGTGCGCATTCGTCCTCGATACTATCAAAAACGCTACTGCCACCATCGGTCGAGGTGCTGTGGAACGGGTACTTCGTTCTGCTTCTGGGACTGGACTGTGCCCATTGTGAAGCGAAGGAAAAGACCGCCAAGTCTAGAGCTCTAGATGCTGCGCGGTCTTCCGTTTGAGTAAGCTTGCGCCCTCTGATGGCTGAAGCTAGCCTATCGAGGCGCACCACTCTGTGATAGATTCGATTCCAATCAGGCTTAGCGTTTGTGGCTAGCAGGTTATCCGATTTTGCACTGTAGGGACAGGTTCTTTCTGTGACCCAGCATGCAAGTGCGTTTTCGAAACTATCATGATAG